GACGATCCCAGAGTGCAGTAACAAAAGTAACAAAAAAACAGAATGTTTACTACCGCTGGTTCAAATTACATCATTGATGGATAATAACGATTGATATATAAACAAGGATAAAGGAAAAATAAATGGTAACAGCTGGAGAAATAACAATGAAAGTAATGGAAAAAACATCTTTTAGTCACACATCTAAGATGCATCCAGTGATAAAGTTCTATCCTGTTCTATATGGTTTATAAACTATATGATTTTGGAGCTCTCGACACTCGGTGTTTTTTATGGAAAGGAGGTTTAAGGTCAATTTCATTCAATATATTTATTATTTTTGCAAAGAATGTCATCGCACATGTTTCCTAGATAGAGTTTTTTTTTTTCTAATATAATTTCAAGTTTTACGGTGCTTGAGGCATACGCCCGACAGACTCACCACACCTCTCAATGTGGTGACCGGTTAACGTATATGATCTCTAGACGCAGGGAGAGATGTTCTTAAATCGGCGACATCCTATCAACAGCCCTCTGATCTGTTCAGATTACTTACCTGTTATAATTGCGGATTTGCGCAGAGATGATGAATATATGCCGAATGGTTTTTTGTGGAAGAGGAAACTCATTAGTTTTAAGTGCCATTGTCGTCGACATTAGCCCCTCGCTTTCCGCGGGGGGCATTGTTGACCGCGGGATAACATCGGTCAGTGTCACCACATCGAAATCGAAAATGTTCCTTTCACAGGGTTATCTTTAAATAAGTCAAGACGTAGAGCCGTTAGCCCTCCGCGAAAGTCTACGATTGACTTCAAAAGAGCTATCGGACACTCGAGAATTGAATTCCTTATGCTGTAACGGCTGTTGATGAATGAAGTTGGTGCCGTCGCTGTCCTCATAAATGTACCGATTTGCTCACATCTTACAATTATAATATCCTTTAATACAAATTTATTTATATTATGCTATAAATAATGTCTGAATGTTGACGCGTAAGCCTAAACTCGCAAGTTTCGCGTTGAAAAAGACCAAAGCGCACTGCTTCGAGTTCCGCTAACGACATATATAGAATAGTCCACATACTGCTGTTAGCTGAATAATTCATGAGGGTATCGCGCCACAAGCTAAAGCACCTCAAAACTGAAGGACGCGAAGTCGATAAAAAAAAAATGAGAATTTCAAAAAAGCGGAATGGTGCTAGTACTCCTGGCAGTAATAGAGCAGAGCGCGATGGCGGAAAAGGAAGAAATGTGCATCCATAAGCTTTACTCAATCACTCACTGCTCTCGGATCGAAAAACGTAAGTGTATGCGTAACAGAGTGTCTGTGCGTCAGGGGCACTTAGGACTAAATGACTGAAGGGGACAGGAGCGTCTAGAAATGGAGACAGTGCGGAGGAAGAAAAACGATAGAAAAACACCGCTCCGCCGCGCACGCTGTTGATGTTCCAAACCGCCTGTGCTCACAAATATGGTGGGGTATGCCCGGTAGCGCGTATCCTATGTAAGCAAAGTCTCTATGAACGTGTGCGTATATGTGGATGTGCGAGTCTGCCAGGGTTCGACAACAATTGGGAAGGCAGCTCAGTCTAACTACTATATAGTCTGGGTCGAATCAGTCGCCAGTTGACGAATGGGGACTGCTTCAGCATTGGTAGGTTATACGAAATTAGCAATCATAGTTGGGGCGCTGACTGCTACCATCTTATGCCATCATTAGAGATACGAGGAGTACTTCCCCAGGGCAATGACCTAAGGGTCCCTTACGCAAAAAAAGATACCGTTTTCCCAATCTGTTCAAACCGCTATTAACTCTGTTTTCCTCTAAAATGATCTCATATCCCATCCAGTCTCTTACGTGCCATTTTCTACCTTTTTTTTTATATGGCAGCCACTTTCGTAGCCACCCTTAGGAGCGTATTTCGACCGCTCCCACACATCAGTTTCTAAAACACTTGGTGCATGGAGTAGGAGCGAGCAGACATGCAAAATAAAAGATTAGGGAAAAGAAGAGATTGTATGAATCACGGATCTGCCACACATTATATCCGCTAGCATTTTTGCCGCTATATGCGTGACCAAAAACAGCACATGCAGTATGGCGGCATTTGCGGAACATGTATACCCATGTGCATATGCACGCACCTAGGTGTAAATGAAGAGCAGCGAGCGTACGAACTGGGACACAGATGTCTGTGTACAATGATGTAGCGGCTGGCGGCGATCGACGACTACATGCAAACCGCGAACTGATCCGGACCAAAGCAAGCAATGCTATAACGAAGCAAGCAATATAAGGGCGTCATGCAACCGCTGCTGCTGGCGGAGATGACGAGCGATTCAAGCTTAGACGAAATAAATGTGGATGCTTCACTGGATCTCGTCGCGATCACGCCAGGGCCGCCTCGCGCTAACCTTTGGCTAACATTCGGAAAAAAAGCGGGTACGCATGATTTGCCCCTGCGTTGTTGCTATATATACAGAGCACGAATGGTACGGCAGCAGTAATAGTAGCAGTAGTACGATCCCCATCAGTAGGAAGATGGCACGCTTTGTACTGCTGCTGCTATATCGCGTCAGATTATTCTATCCCTGAGTGCTTTCTGTGGTCAGTCGCCTCACCTCATGCCTTTACGCACCTATATTTATTTGCTCCGCTTCTGTTCTGGCCTTTTATTTTTTAACCTAGCTTTTGCTCGATGCCAGTAACAATAGAGGCAATAGCGGCAGAGGCTGTCATAGACGGAATTGTTGTTTTCGTTGAGCACATTACGGTCATCATCATCCCATATTATTCTCTGCTGACTAATTCTAATAGAAACCCGCTAGTCTGTTACAGACGAGCATGTGCGGCACGTGTTGTATGATCATATCCTGCACTTGCTGGACACTGCACGCAGAAGAGAGCCTCTCTACTATAGCAGTGCCGCGGCCGCTGTCATCTTCCCTTCCAGTTTTTGTAGCTATGGACCTTCAAGGAAAGCAGACAGGAGGCCACGCGAAAGGGGTCCATACGTTGACTCTATTCTCTTAAACCCCTGCTCTACGTTATCTGGCCGTTGTATCAAACGTCACCTCTTCGCCCTCTGATACGGGAAGGCATACGAACCTTGCGTGCCAAATGATTGGACGATACAATACAATTACTCTAAACTGAGCCTTTCGCCACAGTCCCCTTTTCCCACCTAACATCGAGCAATTTGAAGAAATTTTCCCTACGAATATGGCTTCTGTTTGATGAAAGGCGGGATTCTGCAATTATGACTATGCCATGTTTGCGCTTAGACTTGTCTTTGAATAAAGGGACGCTTGTACTTGGTTTTTTTAGGGTATTAAAAGTGTTGCGTAGGAACACTAGACACATTAATCGCATAATATTATTAATCGAACGGCCACGTTTGAATTTAGATTCAAAGTTTAATCCAACATTTAACTTAAAAAAATCAAGTTCATTTCAAGCCCTACGGTTACTGTAGCGCTTGCGGAGTTGATCGGTCGTAGGGAAACAAATAAATATACAGTTATATCGTATTTAATGTCGAAAGAGTTCGAAAGATTATATAATCTTCAATGTGCAGAAACTCCTCTGCGCAGTGTCTAAATTTGTTCCGAGCTTCTTGGACGACAGTAACATTAGGGTAGAGATTTATTTTAAATGTCCCATAGAACTCCTCTGAATGTGACAGCTCGTTGGGCGGGCTGCTGTACAGACCTTTCATAACGTATCGTTTACCCTTTGACGGTAGAAATATATTTATGTGATTATTATTTCTGATAAAGCAAGTAACTCTTCGATACTCTATCTTAGCGCAGTGCGGTGTGTAAAATTCAATTTCGAAAAGTTGAAAAAATAAAATAAAAAGGTTTGAATATGTTGCCGTCTTACTAACGCTTCCCCTGCTGCAATACACTGGGCATAGTTTATCAGTTGAACATTAGGTAATGTTTGATCACTATATGTCAACCAGCGTAAGGATTATCCGTCTTGACCGGCGAAGATGACCACAAAGTTCGACGTGTCCTACCCGGATATTGCTTTATTGGAAAGGGTCAAAAGGTTGGCTACCGAAACTGAACTAAAACTGTGCAAGTGACCCAAAGCTTCAATCCATCGTCCCAATGTGTACGCAAGCCACCCAGAAAGAAAGTGACAGCGAAACGATAATTTGCCGTCAACACACTCACACGAGAAAAAGCCCCCTTCGGCCCAAGCGTACATTAATCGACTTATTCGCACCAAAATGCGGGTGGCGCTGAGACCCACATCCTGTTCTAGTTATTGCCAGTGCGATCGGAACGTTACTTGCATTTGCTACACGCTATCGGGCCTATACCCAGCCTATTATGAATTTGTTTCTGAAGAATAAAACTTCCTCCCAAACCTGAAAAAGCAATAATACATTGAGCAGCAATGAGAATATGAGTTGTACTAGTTAACCCATGAAACGTTCCGTAGGCAGGAAAGGCGCCCTATGGCCGTTTTGAGATCATGGTAGATTCTCGGTATTGATTAAGCCAAATTAACACAAAACAACTTCTTTTATAGTAGAGATCATTTAATGGGGTCAATCTACGTAGCAGCCTACATTAACATCATACTAAAGTGCATTCATATCATTTGCATCCTGAAAAAGCGGTGACTTGTTGCAAAGTATGTACCTATAGAGAAAAACGTGACATCTAAATATGGATCAACAATTATAGCCAAAGTCAAAAGATGCAAGCAATAACTCAACATCGTACACATATCAGACTATGTCACGAAAAATAACTTTATAATAATAGAAACATCCAGTTATGACTCTACTAAAGACGCATTGATTTTCGTACTAGTTAGACAAGCCAGCTTTTTCTACATCTAAGTGACTATTTGTCTACTAACTGGTATGACACACACACGTCCAGCCAGACCCAGTATAACCAGCAGAGGCCAGCGGGAAAACAGCCAACTCCCACCCTTTCCCCTACGAGCCACCCTCTCCGGGGGTGGCAGTCCCTCTCCAAACGGTGCCCTCACCTCTGACGAGTCCATGTGGGCTTCATGTATCGCCATATCGTTCAAGTGACGGCGGTGAAACCGGACCGCTGTTGAAGATGATATCCGGGGCACCGGCGAGTTCAGCCAACGCGGCTGCGCCGCTATCTAACGATGACTGTGAACAGTCGTGAGTTGAACCCGGGTCGTTTAGTTTATTAGTTGGCGGGGGCCCAAATCAGTCAAACCAACGCCATGATATATCAAAGGATTGCCCTTGTGCCCCGTGTCTGATATTCACATGAATGTGCGTGAATCTCTTTGGTGTTCTGCTGGATGGCGTAGCAGAGCCAAAAATAGTTACTTCTATTTCTACACTTGAAGGAATTACACACTACTCGAACGCGACGGATAAGAATTTTCATTAATGGCGTAAAACGCGGTGCTCTCGTTTCATTGCGTAGTAAAATATGAATTTGTTTCGCCTAAATAGTGATCATGTAACATTGTCCGTCTGACTCGTCACTATGATTACCCCATGGTTTGTTCTAGACGTCCACCGTTCATTATTTTTCCATGCATCAGCCAGGGCGTGCTAATTGGTGTTGATTTTTCTACTTCTGGATACGATGAATATAACTACAGTTACTCCCGCCATGGTCAACTAAAGTGTTTACTGTTGATCGCAAGAAATTCATCAGGTTATCTGTGGTGATCTATGTCATCTTCGCTTTGTCGCTGAGGCCTTTTTCATTGTCAACTGTCTAGAATGGTTACGTATGCAGGCCGTTCCTGGCCATAGCTGACCCTGCAACGCAACGGACATTCTTGTATTTTTCATTGGGGCTGTTATTGTTCGCTCGCAATAGTCTTCACCGAGAGGTGCCGAAGTACGTCGAGCTCACGTAGCGTATGCTGGACTGAAAGTGGTGGTATTCTTCAAATGGTGAAATTTCATCACGCAAGCAAAAACCTAAGTAAATGGTAATCGTCACCAATATCGGCACTTATCCACGACGATAAAGCGGCTGACGAAAAAGTGGTGGAAGAGAACCTAGAAAGAAAACATCAACCTGTAACAGTTCGCTAAAAACAAGATCAATTGTGTCACAGTATTTATATAGCAGTGCATGACGGGTACGACCGACGGCTGCTAGTCGGAAGCCGGCTAATATTTGATACCGTACAGGCAGAATGTGGCTCCCTCGACAACAAAAGCAACGGAGAACTGTGGCACTTGCTCTTACAGAAATAATGACGCTCTCAGCGCTCATTAGACAGCTTCATTTGGTAGCCGGTAAGTGTCTAGGACTTATGTTGACCTGTTTACGCTTGTATTGTAAATATCCGGCGTTTAATTATCCGCGGATCTAAATCGTTATTATAGTATAGCGGGTTGGCCAGTTTGAAGCTAGTCGCAAAAGTCACTACCAGTTTATCGTGGTCATAGCGTATTTTCGACTCCGATTATTATTACGGTGCTAACCGTTGCGTAACACAACATTGATAAAATACGTGCGAGCTTATATCTTCGGAAAGGCAGTACATCTGAATAAAAACACTATATTGTACGCTTCCGTACATAGACTCAATTAAGAGTAGACACTAAAGCTAGTGATTATGTTCCTTCAAGCCCGTACTACACGTACATTCAGTCACAACTGCGTTCATCGGCTACACTTCGGCCATACAACAATCATCTTTAAAATGGTTTATACAGGCTAAACAGTAAGATACGCACCGACAAGTCTCACATCCTAACCTATAAAAAGTGATACGACCCGAAGACTTCTATGGAATACATGGCAGAGTCCCGAATTCGTTGAACATGACCCAGACTTTACCAATGGCCTTTTCAATATACTTGTAATATGCTAAGTTGAACAGTTATGGCACGTACAGTTGCAAGCTGGCGCTTTCTGCTAGAAAATCGATTTTTCCGTTGCATAGGATGCTTTCTATAAACGCTGTATCGTTCATTCATGGGCAGTCGAGGGGTGAAGAAACGAAGCTGGTACCTTTTCGAGCTCTATTTATTAGGCAGATTATATGTAACACGTGATACTCACAGAGGTCAATATAACCTAGAGTTTGTATATTGATGACGCTGTTCACACCATAATTGTACAAGCACCTCATACATTGAGTAACCATTTAAATGCCTATTAATTTTTGATACTTTTGAACTTGATCAGATTCTCCTTTAGTAGCAAATCAATTTTATTTCTGCTATTTTATTATTGTGATTATCTTATTTGGAAACATTTTTATTCAGGCTAGTTATTAGAGCCAAAAGGTTTAATTTCTCTTATTAAGCATAAGTGTACACTGATCTGTGGCTGAATCGAAAACTAAAATCGTCCTCAGATATCGAAACGCTCATTTCATTAAATATGCGATTATATTTCTATCGTCGATCTGTTCTGAAGAGTTGAACTTCCGTCAACCTTAATCAGTTTGTTACTCAAGCTATCTGCGTAATTCAAGTACTTTTTAAATTTACGCGCGCCTTAGCTTTTGACCGCTCTAGCCTTCGTATGGCAACTGCGTCGGCAGCTACTTTCATGCATCACAAACGTTGCTATTTTAGATCTCTCTCTAGCGCTTTTTACGAGGTTAAAATGCTCAGCCGCTCCGGGAACGAGCCCGTGTATTCTCTGGCGAGCGTAGGCCGTAGGCCGTAGGCAAGTTAGCGTATTTTTTGTACCATTAATTGTAATCATTCTGATTGTGATCGTTTACTAAAGCAGAGAGCGTAAAATAGCTGATCCGACTTAAATTGCGCAACGGATTTTTGCCAATTGCGTACCGGTTAAACGTAGATTCTCTCCGCTCAGTGAGTGAAGACGATAAAGAATAACGTGTATAGTGAAGCTTACGTAGCATAAAAATGCTACATTTATATCCATAGCGCGCTATTGATGATCGAACTCGCAGACTTCGAATAAGCTAAATAACGGTCGTCATTTCGAGACCTGTCGGAAGGGTTGCGCGAGAATCAATTATAGAGGATAAAATCTTCAAGTGCAGAATGATACTGACTAAGAACAAATGTTTAGTTCATAGGAAAATTACATCGGGTGACTCAATGGTTGCATTAAATCAGTGTTTTGAACGACAATAGGAACTGATGGATCGTTGCACTTATATATTATGCCCTGTCACCTCGACAATAAATATCTAGGAATAACTATAATTAAGTTAAGTAGCGTTTCTGATTCACTGAAGGGTAAATGACAAGGATGGAAGAAGGACATTGTAATTTCCAGAGCGTTCGATCGAACTAACGCCAGTTACGATACTCTCGGCTGCATATTCCTCTAGCTTTGTACATTCGTATATTACGTCTATGCATACGAGCATGTAGAGGATGCGTTTTAAAATACAGGAAAAAAACGTTTATAGCTATCTAAACTTTTACGCAACCACTGATACGCATTAGTATAGAGAACTCTAGCAAAGTGATATCCAGCACACGTAGTCACCCCGCACTAACCACTAACCCCCCAACAACGAACAGCTGTCGTGATTGCTCACATATGGCGTTCCCCTCATTGACACGATTTAGGTGACAACCTAATTCCATTAATGTAATTGTTCAATGTATGCCACCTGTCAGCCAACCTTTCACCCGTGCCCCACGTAGGTCCTTTCATTCTGACCAACGTTTTTGACTTTCGTATAAGTGAACACAATAGCCTGGTAGTGAATAGCCAGAATCAATCTGTTTCGGCAGTGCCACGTTTTTTGCGTTGCCTAATTAAGCAGTATAGGCGGACCATAGTAGACGAAGGCAAGACATTTAGGACCAGGTGCTAATAACTGAGTTATGTTCCCATGTCATTACCTACAATATATATATGTACGTGTATGTATATTAAATTGAAGCATCTAAGATGTAATATGTTTATACATTTACAATATGAATTGAGTTTATTTATAGAATAAATGTTGTATTTAAATTTGTAACGTGTCTTCTTTAGCACGGTTTATCGAATCTCATTGATGTTTTGTATCATAGTTTGTCTTAAGTTAATCGCGCCATATTAAAATACCGTGGTCCGTACATGAACCCGCGACCGCAGTTACCATACGTGGTATTCTTGACCGCACCGCTACAAAATCAGGTATTCTAAATAATCGATACTTGTCCAAAATACATAAAATAATAGAAATAGCTGCATACGAAAGCCTAATAGAAGAGTTTGCTCGTTATGAGCTAAATGATAGTCCTTCATTTGCAGAACTCGACCAGCTCGACAGGTACGAAGCCACAAAAATAACACCGTTAGCTTAAACGAGCACTGTCTGTTAATCGCTCAACTTTCGGGGGACGAGGATAAAGAAGGGTATTATCCCTTTTGGGCAAATCCAAAGTGATGACTACAATTTACGCTCTATTCATAGCGCTACGTGTATTGTGTACAGGCGGAGGAAATATAGAAGCACAATTAAATCGAGTGCCTGTCGTTCTCCTGTGGTAGTACAGGCGTTTCCGGTAGCCCTGATAACTGAATATACGAATCCACTTCATTTTCCCTCAATCAAAAAAGACCGAGTCGGTAGGCAGGTAACTTCGGTTCATTAGCCATGGAGCAAATTCCATATCGTTGGATATATATCCAATCGTATTGCGTTTTATTAGTTAATAATGTGGTGACTACCAAAAAATACGTGCAAATGTTGAACTTGACGGGCGATCTGTCGAATATAAACAGCTTACGCTCCTAACTAAACGTTCAGTGGATTGACAGGTAGTGCGTGCGATTGGATAGCACTAATCCAACCCAAGTAGAAGGCGCATTGATTGAATGAATTACCCTTTTTCTAATAACACGTGTCCTACTGATATTCGTCCGATATATAGTGTCGCGACGTATGTATGGCTAACGCCATTCGACGCCTATCTTGACGCTGAGGTAATCGTGAAACGATTCGCGAATGGCACTGCCTGTCAATTTGGGCTAGAAATAAAGCGGAATACATCAGATAGATCAGGCCGCTTTATCTTTCTTTACAGGTTGGGGCCTGTCGCTTGCGGCACAGCATTCTCTACCCGAACCAATCTTGCAGACGAAAAATCACAAAAATAGCTTACAGTGTTTAGAAAATGGTCCGAGCACAGACACATACATGATTCTACTTTTATCCTTGGTCTTATGTTGGAAATGCAGGGAAAAATCATTGCTTCTTTACTTAATCACACATTGCCTCTTGGATGGGTGGAACTTGGCGGAAGGGATAATGTCAATAAATTCTATTCCTACGAGATATATATATATTGATAAATCATGTTATTCCCTTTTATAGATCGTGTGTTCGTACCGTGTTGGTTGCTTCCGAGCAGATGTCTCATACAGTGGCATTTGACTATCTGTACGTGTCGAATAAATTTCGGCGGTAAACGTCAGTGTCTTTTTCTTGCCGAGCGTAGTCGATCCAGATTGTAAGAATATGCTTTGAATCGGTGTGAGCTGGATTCACGTTTTTAATACTATCAGAATAGATATTGTTATATATATTGGAACTTTGTACCCATTGTACCCTCATCGACAGCGTTATACGAACGGTTGCACTATATATTGATGACAATCGTACATGCCACTTAAGCAACTGTCATCCAGGGCCACACGCAATCGATGAGCTTATCTCAGATAATGTTCTGTCATATCTGATACAATAGCAGTATCATTTCTATTCACCATATTTATCTGCCTGCTAGAATGATGGTTTGTTTCCGATGGTAGATTCATTAATTATATTAAAAAGTGACGACGCCGAGATCTTCTAAACTGTCAGTACCCGGATAGAAGCCCGTTTATTTAGTCAGTGAGGATATGGTAGATTCAAAATATGTATGCATTTACGACTGTAATTTTAAATGGAATCATACGCATATAGATTCAGATGTAGAGCGGCGGTACTTCGACGTTCGTTGGTCATTTTGATAGTGTATGTGTCTTCATCCACTGACTGGCGTTATTTGAAGCTAAAAATATTTCTTCGTTCAATTTCCCGTCAAGGATCTCGCCCGTTGTACGTCCACCAATGGCTCCAAATAATTATCTCGACACTTTCATATAATGTAATGAGTACAGCGAAGGTACGTTCAAAGTAATTAATCACGGAGGAAATAGTAGATAGTCGCTTCGTCGGATGTCACTGGCTATGTACCATTCACCGCAAGCTATTCGTGTCTCCGATCATTGTGGTTTATCCAAAAATCGATACGACTAGACAAGGACAATACGGTAAGAAAAATATTACTGCGACTATGACGCTAGAGTCTCATCATTA